CCATATTTGGCTTAATAGTAAAATTTACTTATAAAATTTGCAGATCTTCTCCAGATGATAGATGAATTGTCTATTAAGATAAGTAGCAGACGGATATTGATCTTCTTTAATAATTTTATAAGTATAACTTTGCCCAGTTTCTGAATATTCAATAACAGGTTTCTTAGAATAATTATGAATCTCTTTTTTTTTTTTAATTTGTTGACTCATTTGAAATAAAATAAAAATGATAAATTACTAATATCGATTATTTTTATGAATTGAATATTATTGAATTGATTGATATATTTTATGATTTCGGAATATGAACTTAAAAATAATCTTCAAAAAAATTGGGGGACTTTTTCAATTAGCCGATATGACACTTGTAGAATTGCCGATCGCTTGTAGAATTGATATCATCATGTATAATTGCCGATCGTTTGTAGAATTGATGTCATCATGTAGAATTGACGATCATTAAAAGCATTCTTATATGTAAAAAGTTACATTTTTGATGTTCTGTAAATCTCTTTAATGTTAAATTCCATCAACCTAAAATCGAAACTAATTTTACTTACAGACCATTATAAAGAGATTTGTTACACTATAAAGATTATTTTATTTTGTTATTACAGTCAGAACTCCATAAATGCACTGCCGTCGGGACCATAGGAAAAATTTTTGAAATAGTGCACTTAGAGAGTGTGTGCATTTATAGAGTAGAAATTATATATAGCTCTTATGAGTTGGGACCAGACTATACCGTGCATTTAGAGAGTTTTTACTTAGTTCTGACTAGAGATGCCGTAGAATCGTCCCAATGAAGTCGAATGATAGTTGTCACATGGCTGTAACTTGCCGTAACTATAGTAAGTAACATAGTAAAGTTACGACATTATAGCCGTAACTTTACTTATTATTTACTATAGTTACGGCATGTGACAACTATCATTCAACTTCATTGGGACGATTCTACGGCATCACTAGTTCTGACTGTACCCCGTTACCTTATAAATATTTATATCCGATACCTTTATTTACTTATACCCGATACATTATCGTTAAGTGACTTAACGATCACATTCTGTTTAGTAATATATTTATCATTGTTACGTTATCACCGTTAAGTGACATAGCGGTCCTATTTTATTTTGTTATTACCCTGTTACCTTATAAATATTTATGTTTGATACCCTTATTTACTTATACCTGATACGTTATCGTTAAGTGACTTAACGATCACATTCTGTTTAGTAGTATATCATTCTGTTTAGTAGTATATTTATCATTGTTACTTTATCACCATTAAGTGATATAACATTCCCATTTTATTTTGTTATTACCCTATTACCTTATATTTACATTCGATACCCTTATTTACTTATACCTGATATGTCATCGTTAAGCGACTTAACGATCACATTCTGTTTAATAGTATATTTATCATTGTTACGTTATCACCGTAAGTGACATAACGGTCCCATTTTATTTTGTTATTACCCCGTTACCTTATAAATATTTACATTCAATACCCTTATTTACTTATATCTGATACGTCATCGTTAAGCAACTTAACGATCATATTCTGTTTAGTAGTATAATTATCATTGTTACGTTATCACCATAAGTAACATAACGGTCCCATTTTATTTTGTTATTATCCCGTTACCTTATAAATGTTTACGTTTGATACCCTTATTTACTTATACCCGATACGTCATTTATTTCCTAACCGGTATAAAGTTAATTAGTATAACGTGATCTGATCTAATTAATTGATTACCGATAGATATAACTAAGTTCTCTGATCTCAGATCAATTATGTAATCTTACATGCACAAGTTCTTATTATAAACGATTATATTAATATTTTATTATTATTAGTTCTCACAAAGAAAATATAAAGTTAATTATTGGAGTTAAATTGTGCCGATAGTTCTATAAGCTCTCCCAAAACAATATCTCTTTATAATGGTCTGTAAGTAAAATTAGTTTCGATTTTAGGTTGTTGGAATTTAACATTAAAGAGATTTACAGAACATCAAAAACGTAACTTTTTATATATAAGAATGCTTTTAATGATCGTTAATTCCACATGATGACGTCAATTCTACAAGCGATCGGCAATTCTACATGATGACGTTAATTCTACAAGCGATCGGCAATTCTACAAGTGTATTACTAAAATTATTAATGATCTTCAATTCTACAATTCTACATTTTAATATGTCATTTCTACAATTCTACTTGTAGAATTACTAAAATTATTCATGATCAGCAATTCTACAATTGTAGAATTGTCGATCAATTGTAGAATTGCCGATCGTATGTAGAATTAATTCCCCCCATCACTGGTTGCAACTAGAGTTGCTGGTGAAACTTGGTGAAATTTGGTGAAACTGGTGACTATCTAAAATCTGATTGGCTATTGAATGCAATAGCCAATCAGATTTTAGATAGTATTAACTAGAGATGCAGGAGAGTTAATTCCACACGTGTAGAATTAATTCTACAAATAATCTACAATTCTACAATGCAGTAGAATATGAAGGGATTATTTAACTGTGTTAATGTGATAATAAATGACGATAATACTGTGAAAATATGAGCCCGCAATCAGATTTCATAAAGGGTAATATCCCAAAATGGTTCGATATTGTACTATTTTTCTGAATTAGAATCGAGTAATTCTTGTTTTATTATTAATTTAATTTTTTTAGGGAACGGCTATTTTCACATGGAAATTTGCTATTTCCACATGGAAATTTGCTATCACATATGTGATAAACATATTGTCATGATAAATTACGTCAAATTGTAAATTTTCATGGTGGAATTATAAAGATATAAATGATGAATTTTTTAGAGCAAGAAAAAAAACAAAACTCCATCAGAAACATTAGCTAACACAATAACATGTAACCATGAATTTGTTATATAAAATTCTAAATAGCCCTGAAATAACTAATATTGTAAAAATCATTTCGTTGACGATATGTTTTTACATATTTCGTTTTTATTACAAACATTTTACTCGTGTGAATCCTCTTCCTGGTCCATTACCAATTCCTTTGATAGGAACTTTTGAAATCTTTAGAGCTCATATAAATATTGATGCATGGTTTTATAAATTAACTGAAAAATATGGACAAAATGGAATATTTGAATTAAATCTTATTGGCAATAGACAAATAATAATCACTCGTGCAGAATACGTTGATAAATTTATAACACCATCATCAGAAGAAAACCACAAGAAACATTTTAAGAGAACTCCTAATAATGGACTTTTAGATGTGTTTGATCTTGATTGTAAAGCTGTTGCATTAAATCATGACTATAATTCTTGGAAATTTTGTCGTCAACTTTTTTCACGCGCCGTTAAGACAGCATGTTATTCTGACGAAACCATTGAAACACTAAGTAATTTATTTGAAGAAATGATGGATTATTGGATGAATTTGAGAAAACCTGACGAGAATCTAGCAAATGTTGATTTATCAGCTTGGATGCAAAGATTTTCAAATGATTTTATTTACGCAATTACAACTGGTAATCGTACATTTGCGATTAAACATTATTATCACAACTTAAAAACAAACGAAGTTACAAAAGAAATAGTGGAATCCGAACGTGTTATTGAATGCATTAAGAACTTCCATAGTTGATGGTCAAATGTTATTTATACCAAAGTTATTAAGATCATTTCCTTTGATCAATGGTCGCGTGAATAAAATGATGCATATGTTCGACTATGTATATAACAGATTGGTAGAGAGAATTAGAAAAAGAAGAAAAGAAGTTGAAAAACTTGTTAATAGTAGTAACTTTGACCCATCACAATTAAATAATGATTTGTTAACATCAATGATTGTTGCCAATACACCATATGAAACTACATCGCCAAAAAATGTTGACCCTTCAATGTTAAGGCCAATGACTGATGATGAAATACGCGGTATGATGTTTGAAGTGTTTTTGGGCACAGATTCTGTAAGTAATGTGAATTTGGATGTTGATTAACACCTGACCTCTTATACAATCCACCTTTTATTTTGAAAGATTTTAATTTGTTAATAATTATTAATGACATTTATTATTGATTTATATAGACTTCAAATACATTTTGTTTTGCATTATATTACATTTCACATCACCCACACGTT